TCTGATAATTTCATTAATTCGAACTTCCTTTGTCTAATATGATATACGTTGATTTGAAATCCCTGAAAGAATATGTAAAAAATAAAAAGATCAGCTGAAAAAACAATTATATTAAGCGAAAAAACTGATTTTACAATGAAAAACATACAAGCAACAACTAAAAAATCAAAAAATTGAACACGAAATGAAAAGTAAAAATTTAAAGATTCCAAGCCAAGTTACTTCACGACGTTTCGATTGTCAGTATCCACAATCGTCTTCGGGTTATAACTGGACTTATTCCTTCGAGATCTGACTATTTATAAGTCTTTCGAGTGCTTTCACCTATCACCTCTTCCCTCTCGCCGCTTCATCGGTTTTACGGCTTGGCCACGGGGATCGGCGGTGCGAACGACGAAGCGGGGAGCGGAGCGACCATTCACGTGACACTGTTTGCAGGCCACGGTCAGTCACGTTTGCCGTCGCGTCCAATAGTCCGACAGCGAATTGTCTTTATCGATATTATCTCGATATTGCAGCACTATTCGCCGCGACTACCGCTCTACTCCGTGGCTCACGCCGTACAGATTCATGCATTTGTTTTGCTCGCCGGCCTCGCCGCAATTCGTCTACGCGATTCGCTCGGTACATTTAGCCGGTCGCTTCGCCGGTCGCCGTTGCGCGTGGCTTCATAAGTACATTCTTATGCGTTTGTTTCAGTCGCTAGACGCTTCACCGTTCGCACCGCGCGAATATTCGCATCGGCGAGTGTCCCGTAGCTAGGCTGTTAGCGGGAGCTGACCGTTTGCTGGGAGTTGGTCGTGTTCCGCTTGATTATAGGTTTCCATATGTTGCGTATCTCTAAGCTAGCTTGGCTGAATGGAATCGCAATTCGCGTTTGGTGGCCTGGTTTTCGTGAGACTGCTACGGATTGTGTTCCCAGATATGAAGCAGATTCTGATGTTATACTCGGACCCCATTCTTCTTATCCTTTCCGACAATCCTCTGATGTAGGAAAGTACAAGTACCGGATGTGGCGGTCTCTTTTTCTTCTGAGGCTCTTGCTGTCTTCTAGCTAAAGTCTGTTCCACCATCATTCCGTTAAAGGTAATTTTTGATGATGCCTAGTTCCTTCTCGAGAGGTTCCTTTGTGTTACAAATCCAAAAGGACGGTCTACTAGAGTTTTTATGATTTCTCTCTTAGTTGATTGATGGTGGTTGGATTCCTGGTTCAGATAATGTCCCGAGTGAGTGAGTTTTCGATATACAGATGTTTTCCATTTGGTGTCGATCCTCTTCACCAATACGACAAAGAATGGCAATTCTTTGTGGACTCAATTCTCCATTGTGAAAATGATGGAAGAACTTACGTTGTTGATGTGCTTCAGGACGGTGTGCTGCATTCTCATGGTTCCATATTATGAAGGTGTCGTCCACGTATCTCAACCAGACTCGGGGCTTCTTCAGTGACCACAGTTTCAAACCACTCCATATATATTTTGGCTATAACCGGTGAAAGTGGCGATCCCATTGGCAGTCCCTTCGACCACCTTCAAACAAATAGTATGATGAGTTTATTGCGTTATCTTTCCAACAAAGTCATTGCTTATACAGGATTGTACATTTTACGTTGCAGCTATTGATGAGGATGGCCTAAAGTAAACGAAACATCGTACCTTCTCAAATGATTCAAACCATACAGCAACATTGACTGTTCAAAATGAATACTACATTTTTCACTTTTGAACCAACTCAGTTATGTACGCTCATGGAATAGCGACTTAAAAATGATTCATTACTTCACTGCTTGTGGAAATAGATTATAAACTCTGTCCATCGAAGCAACGTGATTTTTAAAAACATTATCATGCATAGTGCACGTGGTTTCCCAGACAAGGCTGCTCGTACAGAGTCGTAGTAAGGAACGACCGATTTTTTTTAATAATATGCAGCTGGTCCTACGAAAATTATTCAAAGTTCAACTGATGAAGAAAACAAAAACAATTTTGTGTATTCAACATTGATTGAAAATGGGGTCATTTTATTTCAGCAGGAGAAACGGATGAAGAGTTTTTGATTTCAAAGACGTTTCAGCGTATACATTAAAAAAAATGATAAATCTTTTTTATCATTTTAGACCGATTAGTCAAATGCTGAAGAACTGCCACTAGAAGAATCCTCATTGAGATTAACTATCAATGGATTTTTGTCAACTAAATCATGCATTAGATGGTCTTATCTTAACATTTCCATTCCTACTTCATCTCTCACATGCCCTACGCAATTATTGACTTGTATTAAATGAAACAGCTTCACTAAAAATATTTTTGAGATCACAAAATTCACAAGTATTATTTTTTTTGTCAACATAGCTTTTATGTCTGCCCAAATAAGCTCTATTGGGTTGACCTCGTAGTGGTAAGGGGGAAGATGTAATACTATTATTATGTGCTTTAGCAATTTCGTCAACAATGTATTTATTATATTTGGTTTTATGTTCATTCACCATCCTTAAAAGTTCTGCTTTTACAATGTTATCCTCGAATGGTATACTTTTCAAACGCATCCAGTCTTGAATCACAGCTTTTTTTCTGGCTGTAGTAAGAATTTTTTCAGCTTTTCTGAAATGGTGAAGAGCGTTCTCATCAACAATTATCTTCTAGTTTCAGAATTATGTTCCTAAACTGATTCTCAAAAGATATGACGTCCATTTCCTCATTATAGTCGCCCATTTTCTTCGACTGGAAGGCCCACACGGCATCCGGGACAAAACCGGTTTCGCTTCCTATGTGACATAATATCAACCTTTTGCCTTTTTCTGAAAAGGGATTCATTTTGCTTTAGTTGAAACAGCAGAAGCATTTCTTTCAATACCAATAACATCATATAACAGTAACAAGTTATCTTGTTCACAAACATATGCGATTTCTTGAGGCTCAGGATGTGGACTGTTTTTCAAATCACTAAGCCTAAGGATTAAGTGGGGAATGGGAAGAAATACCAGCGTGGTACGAACAGAATTAGCTGGTATCTCAATCGCCACAAAAGAAATAACCAGGAAAGGAATTTATCTGCACTGACAGCAGACAAGCCCTATTAGCCTTGAACAGACAACGTATAACCTCAGGGGTAGTACTGGAGTGTCACCAAGATTTAGCCAAAGCCTCGGTAGATAATAACATCATCCTGAGGTGGGTTGAAGGGAACGACAGGAGTGAAGGTAATCGCATTGCCGACTCTTTAACCAAGGAATCGGCTGGACTAAGAATTTTAGAACTAGCCAAATGTTACACCCATGCTCAATCCTTAGAGAGATGGGATGGAATCAAAGGATGCAATTTTGCCAGGATCACCTTGGGCACCCTTGGAAGCTGGCGCCGAAGAAATATCTGGCAATGACCAGGGAAAATCAACGCTCAACAGTAGGATTTCTGACTGGCCATTGTCAACTGAGAAAACACTTCCATAATATGGGGCTAGTGGACACACCTCTATGCAGGATGTGTGAACAGTTGAAATGTCGACCATTTGAAATTTGGTAGATCAGCATTCATCGTTTACAACTTTCAGAAATGAATCTATTGTTTGCATTTCTTTTAGAAAAAAAAATGATGTACTTTTCTTCTAATAGCGTTTAAATCAAAATCTTTTACCTCAGCTATAATTTTCTTTCGTGAGGGATATGGTTTTAGAGCCAATAAAGAATGTTTTTGTTTATATTCTCTCATAACTCCATAGCCTCTTGAAGTAGACACTCCTGCAATGTTTCCTACTTTTGTCATGATTTCATCAAAGGACAATAAAGAACTTTCTTCAGTTTGATATTTGTAAATGTTCACATTTACATTGTTTTCATTAATATTAAGTTGTGAATTTTTAATCTTTTTCAAGTGTAGGGGAGGAATACAAATGATCAGTTTCTTCAACCGCATCAGTACTTGACATTTTAACAATTTCAATTCCGCCAGCCGATTGCAGTTAAATCTGATTGGCCAGCGTAAAGAGGCTTATTTATTTCGCCCAACAGATGCAAATGTGCGTGGTAATCATACTCTGATCACGGATCTATTGTTGTTTGGTTTGCTTCATTTGCTGGACAGATATAGTTTAGAAGGAAACCCATCACACCATATTCTCAAAGTAAAGTTTCAAGCTCTCAATGGATAGGTTTTTGTTCTTCCCATAGTTCACACGTCGTACAAAAAGGAACCGTCCTAAATTCCTCATCGAACAATATCTCCTAACCTCACTTTAAATCAGTCCATTTCTCTCAATCTACCGTCCACAATAATCTCGGAATATATGACATCCGGTACCTACTTATTGTATTCCACATACCCCAATGAACACAATGAACTAGGGAGTTGGAATTACAACCGTCAGGAATGAATAGACATGGTCCACCTATGTTAGGTTTCTGTTCGGGAGAGAGTGAGATGAAACACCACTCAGTGATGGGGTCGTCAATATGAGGGGATAATCCCTGTCAAGCATGTCACTCACTCGTCGGCAATTTCTAGTAGAGAACGGAATGGCCGATAGTTTGAATAATGAAACGGTTGATGTTTTTTACAGGGACGGACCGAAAAACGAGTTTTTCAGCTATAATAATAATAGTGATAAAAATATTTATTCAAGTAGATGAAAGGGTTACATTCGATAAAGTCGACGAAGGCCGTTTTTGTCTGATCCTGATTGGCGGAGGTTCTACCGGTGAGAAAGTCATCGAAGTGCTTGAAATGATGATTTTCGGTTGGCGAGAGGTCTAGGCTGTATGATGGCGAGGCAGAACTTCAACGCTCAGCTCGCTCAATTCTCAAACGATGATTTGTCGAGCGTAGTCTGCCCTCTTATGTTAACGAGAACATGCTGCTTACACAATTTTTGGTGAATTTTGTTGATGGTGTAGTAAATCTGAAACGGTTTTCCTATTATACATATTCCACCCTAGTCACCATTGTAACCCTTGTTGAACCTTTCGCTATTTTCCGTGTTAATTCTATTTAAATAAAATTTTGCAGCTGCTGTCACTAGATGCGCATTTCTCCACATGAAATTTTGGATGGGCAGTTCCAAAAAGAGGAGGTCTTTAGTTGCAGAGGAAAAGATCTTGAGAATTCGCAGACACTTCCTTCCAAGAGGTAACTATGGTAGATTTTGAAATAAATGCCTGCTTGAAACCTTTAAAAGATAACTATATGCAATGATAAAGAAAATAAAGGAAAAATATATAACAAAATAGACAAAGAAAAACATCCAAAAATTGAAGAAAATTGCCATAACCAAATCTCGAAAATAAAACTTGAAGTGATGAAATACTCTAGCTTGGCCAGTGATTTCTGACCGCTACATAACTATGACGCAATTATTAGGTCCACTCTGTATACAAATTTATTATAGCTAACTCCTTCCCAACATCAGAAAATGGTTAGTACCTACACATGTACATTCAACTCACCGCTGCCTTTTTCAAGCTCGTCTCTTATGTAAATTTTCGCACTACCCCGCTCGATTTTCGCACGATCCTCACACGCTGTTTTATTCCTACGTCAGACTATCCAAAATCGTGCAAACCGCCTGTTTTCCAACATACTTAAAAACAATTCAAAGATTCAATCCAGGAAAACTCTCCCAAAACAAAATACCGCCTTTGACCGATCGTCGAGAAAACTCTTCAAGCTCCAAGTTTTTTTTTGAACCATTCTCAAAGTTCTAGAAAATTTTCGGCACCACTCTGAGACGGCTGCCTCATGCAAAGATCTCCCAGAACTCTCTGCCTTTTTCCTAAAAGCCAGAAAAAAATTACGGGTGCCTCGTTTCCCCCCCGTTTTTCAAACCGTTCTTCGTAACAGTAGCACACGTGCGATGGAGGTCAACAGATAACCTATTCTGCTGAGTTACTCTCCATTTCAAGGCAGGGAAATTGATGTGCCATACCTACATTCTGGGCGATTTGAGCTTCGTGACAAATAAATCTGACTCTGCATTTTTCCAAAAGACGTCGATAAATTTTGTTTATATAAACACTCCCTCGGTCTTGCCATGATGTCACATTGTATGAGACACAGAACCGGCGTTTGAAAAAATGCTGAATTGAAGAAATATGTCTCTTCCCGAAGCTAGAATGTATATCAACATACATAGCTTTTGCTAGGTAATACGTCGGTTTCGCCAGATTGCAGAAAGTTATAGTGAATTGCACTAGTCGCTGACCACTATACAGACCCCATACATGGCCTTTTTTGGTGGGTTTTCGCCTTTAGGAAGTGCCTGTGTGGCTCATCGCTGTCCAACCACTGACCTGAACGTCTGTTTCTTGAATTGTAATCAAGTAACGGCCAATTCCGTCACATATTTTTTGATATCATTCAACCTTTTTGGTGTTTTGACAACTCTAATTAATGCTCACTCATTATTTTTCAGAAATCTATACAATTATTCAATAAATTACGAGGATGGAATGAATCGTTGAGGATGAATCAATGGAAATAAGCAGTTTGATAACAATTCCGGAGTTAGAAGTTGCTACTCATTTGCAGAAAACTGAGGACTGAAGAAAATAGTTGTGGAATCATGTGGGAAACATTTAAATATTAATTATTGTTCGGTCAGCAGACGAAAATGTATGTAGTACACCGGATGAGTCATGAACTCTGGATAGTAAGTATCAATATTTCACCATTTCTGAGGTTGAACATCCAATTTCTTAATGGTTTGATATAAATGTATTTGTTTTTTCAAGATGATAGTTTTTGTGGGTTTCACCTTTCTTATATCCTGTGAAATTTATCGAATCTAAATTCAATATTTTCGATGAAGAAATGTTTACTTCAGAGGAAAGTAATGTACACGTTTGAAAAATTTATACAAATTCTGTTTTTCAGTAGTTATTGATTTGAAATTATTTGTACCCAGTCTTTGTGTCATTTCTTTGCGAAAATTAGAACATAACTGAGGCGATTCTCTTGTTATATTTATAACTTGTCTCACGCATAAGCAAACATGTCGTTGAATTTTCACTCTTGAAGTGCCTTTGCTATTAAAATTTCTTTATCAGACTCTTTCAATTAATTGTTTCTTATTGTTTTTTCAACTCAAATTGAAAGGCGTATATTTTTAGAAGCGATTGATTTTTGAGAAAGATTTTGGCTTTCTACTACACATCTTTGTGAAGACATTATTTTTGAAATTAATTGCTTCTTTCTTTCTTTGGTACAATCTCATATTTTCTACTATAAGGAAAGGCGAAAACCTTTTTTTTTCAAGTTGTTTTTCTTGTTCTTCATCGACTTGTTTTACCGGCTATTAGGTTGGTAAAACACGTAAAGTAATTTTCCACTGTTTCCAGCTGAGAGAAACAAATTATCAATGTATCGGTTGATAATGTTCAAAAATAGACTCACTCGCAATGTTTAATAAAAAAAATAACTTATTCTTTGTATCTTCTCATTTTTTTACATTTTTGCTGTTCCTTCGATAGATGTTAAACTGAAAAAATTAAGTGAAGCATCAATATTCAATTTTGAGGAGAGTTAATTTAAAAAGAACCATGAGTTCAAGATGGATTCAACAGAGGTTTTCAATTTTTTTCAATACAGATTATCAAAGCTCTAGTAAAATGGAACAAAACTATGCGGGAATCATGGAAGCATCTCTATAAATGGAAAATTCATGTACTGTTAAATGACCGATTTCGTCCGGCAAGTGATGTTTACTGACCCAGAAGACGGTTTTCATATTTGCTTAGTTGTTAGGTTAGGTTAGGTTAAGTCCAAAGTGAGTGGAATCCGCAGATTCCACTGTTTTGTTATATATTTCAAATTCAATTACGTTAATTTTGCATTAACAATATCGTGAAACTTTCCCGTTGGTGAGATGGAAAACAGGTTGTTCTTTTGATGCAACCAAGTGATCTTCAACCTTACCCATTTCATCACATTTCATGTACTATTATTGTAATTGTATCACTCTGGAAATTAAGACCTATCATTGAAATTACTACATTTTCATTTTGCTTGTGAAACTAAATATTTAAAATGCAAACAGCGCGAATATCACATAGAACTTCACACATCCGGTGATAAATATATCCCCGTTTCCAATTAACTGAATTAACCTTGCCGTAAATCCACCACATGTTCTATGAACTGCTCGAAAATGACACTATCTTGACCGTAATTATAATACCGAGTTTAAACTTTTTCACGCATCCTAATTAAAACTGGTTAAAGTTCAAATGCTGCATTGTAATTCTATGCGTGACTTCTCTAGCGTGACACAGCCAAAGTTAATTGGATTAGATCATTTAATTAAGGCGAATTGAGGACTAACAGTCAACGTTTAGCAGCGAATAGGTCGGACCGTTAGTTAGTTTGGGCCTCTTTGAAGAAAATATGATCCTTTGATGGTGAATGTGGGGGTTTCGGGTTGGAAAATGATCCGTCGTTTGTGAAAATTCAAATAGTTGTAACCGTTTTGCTCTCAGGGAAAGCAACCATTCCCCAACCATTTTTTTTCAAACATTCTTTCACTTTTCTCAATGAATGAAACAGAAAACATAACGTTTATTGTGAACTCGTTCAAGTGTATAAACAGTGGTTACGCTCTATATAGAGGGATGGATATCCATATCTTAGTGATATAAAACTAGGTGAGCTGAATTAGAAAACTCAACATAGCAGGCTTCCGATGAAAGTTTTCAATATTTGTCACTCTGGATCTACGACTCTTCAGTAACTGTGAAAGAAGATAGTGAAAAATTCTTGTTTGATGTTAATTTTTGGTATTCGTGAATCTGGGGTGAGAGGTCCCGCTTTTTTGGTATATAAGCTTCAGTCCATTGGAATGTTTAATTTTCTTGACCTCAATGTTCGTTTCTCAGACGACGAAACTTCATAGTTTATGTTTAGGGCTGTTAGTATAAACCTAAGTTCAAGTTTGTGGGGTTGTAACTCTTCTTCTCTGGTCATCATCATGGAAAAAGTGGTGCGAAGGGTTTTCGCGCTGTATTTCGTGAACTAGCAACCCTACAGTATATTTTATACGATATTATTTGTAGTAAACCAAATTGTCTGCAACTTCGTTTCAATTATTTTTTTTTGTGAAATGGAAAACAAAAAAAAATGAACAAAAATATCTGAAAATGGGAATGAAAATTTTTAGCCAGTTATTTTTGAATAAACATTGAATTACACGAAAGAAAAATAGTTTCGCAACGGATACTTTAATATGAGCGCTGACTTATAAGAAAAACACATATCTATTCTGTTTGTATTCCAAACATACATAAAGGGATTGAATCAGATATTATTCATAGGAGTCCTACACAATATGAGAGATGAGAGAAGTGAAATTTCACTTACATGGAACCCTCTCGTCCCCACTAATAGACATCCGTTGTTTCGCCGTAAAACACTTACCTTTGGAAGAAGGAAATATTAAGAGCAGATAGTTGTTGGTTTACAGATGGATCAAAAACACCGTCAGATTCTGGTGCAAGTGTTTTCAGTCGCAGATCCAGGTTAGAGATACCAACCTACCTGGGAACCTATGCAATTGTATTTGAAGCGGAAATTTACGCTATTGAAATGTGTGTGGAGATATTGGGAGAATCCAACCTCATACACAAGTCAATAAAACTATTCTCGGGCGGTCAAGCGGCGTTGAAAGCTCTTGGATCCTACCGAGCAACGTCTAAATTGGTAGCAAATTGCCAAAAATGACTCTCCTCGATAGGAAGAACTGGTCTGGTCTCTGGTCTGGATTCCTGGCCAAACTGGCCTGGAATCCTTGCAATGAAGGCTTCATCGGACCAGATCCTGTCATTGGCATCGCTTTAGGCTTTGCCAAACAAAGATTGAACACCTGGATGGCAAACAGATTTATGGACTTCTGACAGAATCCTCCAGGATAGGCTCACTCCAAGGCGTTTATTCGCCTTGTCTAACAGACCATTTCACAGGTCACTGTCAATTGAATTATCATATGCAGAGACTCGGACTGTCGAGAGTCAGTGTGTGTCGCCTCAGTTCGGAAAATGATAAAACAGCAGAGCACATAGTTTGTGCCTGCCCCAATGGGGCCCGAATCAGGTTTTAAGAGTTTGGCTGACCTGAAAGACCACTCACCATACAAA